CCTCGTAACACGCCTCCGGAGAGGAACTCGCGCATAGAGTGTTTCATACAGATTGTCGTAGAATTGGTCAGCAATAGCGTTGACAGAAACATCATCCAGAATCTGTTGCCAATTGATAGTGGACAGTTCATTATTCAACGAGTCGAAATCGCAGTGTCTGAAATCCAATTCAGGTGAATACGAATCACAGTCCGATATCATGGGCGGATTGCAGTCGGCATCAAGTCGTAAGATGAATTTCGATGTTGTGGTTGAATAAATTCACCAGATTTGTGTGAACAAAGCCTGAAGAGAAGTTATTATTAAAAATAGTACAAGTATTATTAAGCATGAAGTGGAATAAAATCGTTCATACATCATTTTGAAAACTTAAGAGTAGGCATGTAATAGATCATTATTTAAAACTATTTATTCTAAAAATCCTGAAAATTAATCAAAAATGTGCAAGTATAAGTAAATTTGGGGTGAAAATTGGTTTCTATATATATATATCCACTAAACCAGGACTCCGCTGTTTGGTAATTTTTGAACTACGGAATTGTTCGGTAAAAGTTTACAAATCAGTGAAAAATTTAAAAATTTGGAAATTTATTCCGAAAATGTACGGACCTAGTTAACCCCATTTAATGATACAAAACAAATTTGACGATTTTATTGGTTTCCTTCGAGTAACGTCATTTGAAATTTTTCCATTTTTTTCAGTGGTTCAAAAACCCTGCAAAATTTACCGACTTCGGTGATCTGAATTCAGATGCTAATTTCAAATAACAGACTAGAGTGGTAATTTTTATACGATAGATGAGGAGATGAAAGTATAGAATTGATAGTTCCGTGGTGGTGGGGGGAGATACCCCTCACCATCCCTCTCCAACGGGGGAGTTTGGTAAAGAGAGATGATCAAACCGATTTCTACCTTCATTCATAAAAGTTCCAGCTCGCTTCTACTCTCTATATATATACAATTTCACACTGCCGTACTCTAACGGAACTATCAATTCTATACTCTCATCTCCTCATCTATCGTATAAAAATTACCACTCTAAAGGGTGTCCACGATGAAATTGCCACACACAAAATTGATTCGCAAAATTCGAGTTTTCATCCGATTGCCATCAAATTTTCAGGGATTGAGAAATAACTATTAAACTTCATTTTACCATTTTACTCGTATTTTATTTACAGTCCATACGCAAATGCCCGCACCTTGGCCTTAACCCCGGCCATAAGATTCTGCACAACCTGTGAATCAACCGTTTTTTGCATGTAAACCCATACTTTCTTCAGTTCCTCGACTGTCTTCACTACCTTAGGTCGTTTAAGAAGGTGCTGCTCCATAATCGCCCAGTACTTCTCGATGGGGCGGAGCTCCGGAGTGTTGGGACGGTTGAACATTTTCGGCACGAAATTGACCTTATTGTCCGCATACCACTTCAGCACGTCGTTGGAGTAGTGGCATGAGGCCAAATCCGGCCAGAAGATTGTTGGGACGTTGTGGGCCTTCAGGAGAGGAAGCAGCCGCTTCTGGAGGCACTCTTTTATGTACACCTGTCCGTTCATCGTGTCCTGGGTCACGAAAGGTGCACTCCGCTTCCCGCACGTGCAGATGGCTTGCCAAACCAGGAATTTCTTCGCAAATTTGGACATCTTCTGAGTGCGGACATGCTCCGGAACGCTGAACTTATCTTTGGCCGTGAAAAACAGGTTGCCGGGGATCTGTTTGAAGTCGGCCTTCACATATGTTTCGTCGTCCATGATGCAGCATTCAACTTTCGTCAGCATGTTGAGGTACAACTTCATGGCACGGGTTTTGGCGGACTTGTTCTGCTTCTCGTCGCGATTAGAGGCCTTTTGTACCTTGAACGTTCGAAGCCCAGCCTTAGTTTTGGCCTTCTGGACAAAACTTCGGCTTAGGTGCAGCTTCTTAGCAACATCCCTAACGGAGGCGTTCGGATTTCGGTTGAAGGCCCCAACTACGCGGTTGTGATTTTTGGTGTTGTACGGAATACTTTTTCCTTCATTTCTGGGCTTCCGATCGGTGGTCAACCGTTCCTCGAACCGCTTAATCACTCGCGACACCGTGGAATTCGCGATTCCCAACGTTTTAGCGATGGAATGATGCGAGAGATCCTTGTTCTCGTGATGAATGCGCAAGATTTTATCACGCACGAGCTGTTCTTTCGACTCCATTTCCGCGAGTTTTGATCACAGGACTTTAAAACTTGCAGGATGTAAATAATGCACTATGAACTAAATCCACCCAAATTTTCATTAAATTCTACCCAACGGTTAAAAAGTTAGAGGAATTTCATAGTGTGGCAATTTCATCGTGGACACCCTTTAGTCTGTTATTTGAAATTAGCATCTTCAACTATGTAGTATTTTCAATACATACAGGTCCAGCAATCGTTTCTGTTTGGACCCGAATGCAAACATGAACTCTAAACACACTTTCTTTCGCTGATCCATGTTTCGTGTGTGGGGAAATTGAGACAAGTAATATTAACTTTAATACATTTAGGTAAAAAAGCTTCTAACGTATTGCCATTAATGTTGTCAATATTCGTTTATCGATGATACTGATGGCAAAATTGACTGTTTTTTGTCAATACATTATGAGTATTGCCAAAGTGAAATTAAAATCAGCTTTTCGTCAACACTTGTCATCAATCATCGTTTTCAATATCACCTTTTCAATAATATTGCCAGTATGTCAATTTATTGGCAATATTCTGATATGTGTAATGGGCGCTTATTAGAACAAAGCAGGCAAGCAATATATTCTGTGAATATATCATTATCTCTCTACCAATCCAATTGAGCTGTGTGGTAGAGAGAGTTTGTCGTGGTAGTCGTAGCAAGCTTTTTGTCTGCATCGATGGTTGCTTCATGTGTTTGGATGCACTTATCCGGATACTATCCGGATAGAAAAATATTGGATAATATCCAAGTTAAAATTATCCGGATAATTTTAACTTGGATATTATCCGGTGGGAAAAATTGTGGATAGGGAGTGGACTCCGGTTATTTCTATCCACTGGATAGGTCTATCCGGAAATCTATCCGGATGGCTATAGCTAAGGGTGCTCCTAATATAATTTTTGATATGGTGCATCAGGCAGAACACAATTTTTTATAACTTTTGCGGTATTCTGAACAATTTACCACTTTATCAAGCAGTTTTGGCGTGACTTTCTACCAGCGATTTCACAAAACTGGAACAAAAAATTTATATTTTTTTATAAAACGCACAAATTTTGGCTACTTTTCTCGAGGTTCTAGAAGAAAAAATCTCAAAATAATGTTTTATTTTAAAGTTCGAGTGGTAGTAAACGTCATTTTAAGTGCTCGAATAAAATGGTTAATTCTGGAGTCTTTCAAAAGGTCCAAAACAGCCATGGAAATAGAAAAATGTTCACATCTGTTTCGTGTTTGTTACCCGAGTGCATTTACAGGAATAAAATAAAATAGCGTTGCTTGTTTTTATCGTTTTTACTATGAAGTCGTATTGTGATCAACGGGATGCCACTGTATTTTCAATTTAGTTTTGCCAGTTAAAATTAAAATCAGATGCAAATTTTCGCCAGATCATTTTTTCCATTACGTTACTATGTAGTACAATTGTGCCTATCCATTTATTCCCGTTGTTAATTAACTCTTGATCGCGCACGGACAGAACTTCCCTACGTTTAGATAGTGAAAATAAATCACGGTTGCTTATCGGGCCATCCTGCCACGGCAGAGGCATGCGAACTATTGAATTTATTTACAATCTTACAATAGAACAGTAGGCATGGTAACACTACGCTAGCGGCACTTGTGTGTTGATATGAGTATTTGGGTAGGGTAGTTGGACACCTTTTTGTACAAACAACTCTGTTTCAATGAAGATACCTTGGTAGAAAAAATCCGTGAGCTTAGACACGGACTAGGCATCTGTGTGATACCAACAAATGTGACGTTTACTGAACAAGCTAAACATACCGTACAAGTGATTTCAATTCACCGTTAAGCTGGAAAATTGTGATTTGCAACATGTGTGATCAAAACAGACCGTTACCGATGTTTATTATCTCGATTTCTCCGAATCATCTTTCTCGTGTGTGTGGTGTTTGTTGCATTGCGAACTTTTTTTTCCCGCTATTACTGAGCTAACCAGTCGCGACTGAATCACTATGTGAAGGTCCAGGCAGCCATGTGATATTAATCACCTAATCGGAATATACAGCCCCAACCGCACACACGAACGGTGGAGGAAGTTTGAGTGCTGACGATTCAGGTGGATTGGCTAATTTTGTCTATACGTTTTTATCGTTACCTGTAGTCATAAAAATGGTACAATTAGTTCTATATTTGGACGAAACTGGCGAAGCTCCGTTTTCGAAATTAGATTGACACAATTATCTCGATTTAACGATTCAATGATTTATGAAGGTTAACAATTATCCTACGGGTGAGTCGTGTGTAGAGGATTGACGCTACAAATGATCGCTCAATTGTCATCTTCTTCTTTTGGCTTTACTACGCCCCTACTGGGACTTAACGCCGGCTCTCTACAGTTGTTAATTGAAAGCTTTCTTAGTCTGCACCATTTTTGCATTAGTATTGTGTGGTAAAATCATACAACCGAAAAAATCCTAGACCGGAGCATGATATTGCTTTATAGTTGTGCCTTTACCGACTGAGCTAAGGGAGGCCACATTTGTCATTTACATGAGTCTAGTCTTTACTGTACAGCGTCGATTCCCAGAAAGTATCTGTCTATAAGTAACCGAGCACGAGCAGTTCAATTTCCTTTTCCGTGTTGTTGGAAACCCTATTTATAGCAGAAATTGCCACCAATCCCAATTACATTTCTTCTGCTACAGCTACTTGCACAGCGCCCTCTTCAAATGATGCATTCTTAATGCCGTCACCATTATCAGCAATTACCATGAGTACACTAATTAAAACCAGATATTAAACCTTCGCATCCTCTTCCTTCCTTGTACGCATACTTCCAGATTGCCCGAAACCGTTAGGTGTCACCGAATCGGATCCGTTTTGAACGATTTACGAGCCAGGAACACTCGTCAAACTCTATCCATCCTCCCAGCTGACCGGCTGGCTGAGCGTCTCTGAACACTCACAGTATTGTAGTCACACTATAGTAACTCGTCACCAAGGAAAAAGCGAGAGTACTAGCCGTTTCGGCATTAGTCGTCGATCATCATCAACCGAGTGAGCACTATCGAGGCACCACTACAGAAGTGTCGAGGAGTGCACGGACGTGGTCGTAGTGGTCAGCAGCATCATCGTTCATCATTGACTCTTATCGCAGGCAGCACGGTTGACTGACTCGATTGCTGTTTTGGTTCAGTTGCAGTTTTGAAGAGCGGTTGTCAGTGAGTGGTCACGCGTTCGACCGAATAGCACGCTCGCTGCGTGTTTGTGCCGTTTGTTCGTGATCTTGACTCATAAGGAAACCCAAGACGACGACGACGACACTTCAAAGAACGTTCTGTACTGTTGATCGTTCCGTGTGATCGCTCGTTCGCGAGAAGAGAATTATAGATTGGCACCACATTATTATGCAATTGATCGCGATCTAATCAGTGTGTTGATTTGTGTGTTGACAAATACTTTTGCGAGGCTATCGAAAACAAAAGTGTGATAAATATCTATTGAGAGTGTGTGACGAAACGACCAAACGCCGGGTTGTTGCTATTATCGTCACGGCAACATGCTGAACCAAAAGAGCACCAGTGTGGAAGATAGGTTAGTAGAGTGTGTACTACCATCGGGTTCCCGATTAATTCAGATCAATGAAGACGCAGTCTGCTGCTACTTTATTCGTGCCACCATGCAAGTATTAATGTGTGCATCTCTTATCTGCATTGTTTGACGATTCTTCCAGCAATTGCAAGATGAAACCCGAGTACAGCGAGCTGTCGTTCCTCGTGACGAGGCAGTGCCTACAGCAGGAGGAGTTCAATCAGTTATCGCAGTACGATAGAGTGAAAGCAGCACGTAAGTACCCACTATAATCCCGGCGAACGGTGGAATAAGAAGGGAGATTGTAGGTTTCAAGGATTGTTAACCTAGGAAAGAGAAAGGCTGATTTCCGGGATGTAGTTGAAAGATAATTAATACCGTGAGGTGTAACAACATTGTCACAAGTCATGTTCGTTAAATTTACTGTGTATGGGTGTAGTTAGTACACTGTAGCTCCTTTAAACCATTTTCCACTACACTGACCGCCATAATACTCCACCGAGCATTACCAAATAACGCTCCCGGGCTTTTTGATATTTCAGACATTTTGAAAGTGAAATTCTATTAAAGTTCATAAGGAGGTAACTCTAAGACTAGAAGGTCCCGAAGAAACGTGCTCAACTTTTTGGCTCAGCTCTGGTACTCTCTTCGGTCCCAAGCTAATCGATTCACCCCCCGAAACATAGGAAAATCCAATAACCCCTCATTTTATCTGTCAAACTTTCATAGCGAATCAAAACAAATATAGTGTAGTACTAGAATTTCGACTAGAATGGGGTACGTTCATCGTTTGCTTGGAACCAATAGGCTAGTCAAGTAGTGAGTCAATTTAAAACCTTTAGTTTAATATTGATTGTTGGTAGTAGCGCTGCTGATGTTTTCGGCAGCTTCATGAGCTGAATCTCATTGCAGGAGGTTGGTTTCAATGCGTTAGGACTGAATTGAATCTCATAAGACGACTTTAGAATCAAGAAGCAGTGTTAGATTTTTAATAATATCTCAAAACTGTTGGACTCTAAAGTCAAATTCAACGGTACGTATGAAAAGGTGAATAAATTTTGAAGTTATCTTTGATGAAAACATTCCATGTTTTGTTCAAATCCTTTAAAAAAAGAGAGCAATGTGCTTAGTTGGACGGAAGTTAGATCAAAAACCCTATTATTTTATTTTGTTTTCAGTAACTTAAATTTATTTCTTTTTTTTAATAGCTATCTTCTACATTTCATTGAAGATATTCATGTCAAACCTTCAAAAATACACCTGAAATTCTTCCAAAAGTTTGCTCTGGGAGTTTGCTTTAATGTGGCTTTCTTTGTCTCCATGGGGATTTTAATATTTAAAAAACTACAATGGACAGCAGAGGTTGAACGCAATGGTGACGTAGGACCAGGGGGTGGAAACTAACGATTTTAAATTGATTCACTGCTTGAGTAGCCTATTGGTCCCAAGTACTTCTATGGCGTACCCCATTCTAGTTGAAATTCTATTACTACACTATGTTTGTTTTGATTCGCTATGAAAGTTTGACAGATAACATCAGGGGTGTGTGGATTCATGCAGAACATGCAGGGGTGAGTGAAATTGCTTGGGACCGTTGTTTTGGTACTGAGTGAGCCAAAAATAATAATGATTTTCTTCGGGACCAAGTGGTCTTAGAGCTACCTCTATGGTAGGACTACGTGGTCTTATATAATAAATCTTATGTTTTTAAACTGCAGCAGGAGCTTGTGTTTTGTGTAGAATTTGAACGAGGTTCTCTCTGTTTATACTCTTTAGTATGACGCGCTTGACATAGATGGCCCACAGCAACTCACGAAGAGCTACTGATTCCGATCAATAGCGGTGCGGCTTATTTCTCCTTCTATGGATGCTCATGTGGGCTGCAGCTCGCTGCTTACATACAGTGTTTCGTTGTGTACTGGAGAACACCAGTACGTATTAATAATTAAAATCCGTCATCTCTGGATCAAAATCAGACCACTTTCATGCCGCGACCGACTTTGGCTTTTTGAAATCGCACCCCCAATGTTACCTTAAAGTACATGGTATGTTAGATTTAAACATATCTAGATAGAGCTGGAATTAGCCGTAACAGCTTTTGTAAGCAATTACTTTTCTCGATGTTTACCGTCAGGTATGGAAAGTCTTACCCTACCTGATGGTGATGTTGATTTGCGTGGGCGAGCCTTGACTTTCAAGACATCATCGAAAGAAGTCATTGTTTACAAAAACTGTTACGCCCTAATTCCAGCTCTATCTTGATATGGGAACTGACATTACATTGATGACCTTGACAAATGACCAAAAAATACTTTTACAAATTTATGGTGGTCCTGAAAAGGATCTTTTGTCGTGATTAATGAGTAATGTTGAGCTTCTTATTGGCATATTAGCTTATTGCGTGCTCTCAACTTAGTGTTCTAGATGCACTTCCACAGTTATGAATTGAGAGCTTTCGATGCCTGTACCATTTTTGCATTAGTATAATTGTGTGGCAAGTACAATCATACTTCTATGCCCAGGGAAGTCGAGAAATTTTCCAACCCGAAAAATTCCTAGACCGGACCGGGAATTGAACCCAGCCACCTCCAGCATGGTCTTGCTTTGTAGCTGCGCCTTTACCGACTGAGCTAAGGGAGGGTGACGCGCTTGACATAGATGGTCCACAGCGACTCACGAAGAGCTACTGATTCCGATCAATAGCAGTGCAGCTTTTTCCTCCTATGGATGCTCATGTGGGCTGCAACTCATTCGGTTGTGTACTGGAGAACAATGTTCAACGCCGAGCGCCGAAAGCACTGCTGCTGCTGCAGCTGATGCAGACTACCGGTGATTGGAACTGAATCCGATCATCGGTTAAGGCCAGCCTTGGTTGTTAGCTGATTGTGAGGAGCCTTTCGTTGTGTACCGGAGAACACCACGCGGTGATTGAATAAACACCGTTTGATGAGACCGGATGGACTAAAACTTTGAAATCTGCTATAGGGAAATCGCTTTTCACAGGCAATCGATGATAATTTTAATTATCAAAGCAACAGTTGCACATTCGTGCAATTTTCAATAGTGACATTAAGAAAAATGATAAAGTCTTAAATTCAGTCAGATACGTAGAAATATATCTGATCGATTGGTGATAAAATTATTGAAATTGGTTCAGGGGCTGCTGAGTAACTATCGTTCAAAATCTTTCATAATTTTGTTTCATGTTCCATTTTCGGTTTTCACAAAGCGTACCCCAATATAGAAATCACAGACGTAGTCCTACGTCAAAAATCCTAAACAATTCCCACGCAATTTATTTGAAAGTTATCCAAGGTTTTCCATGGTTTCCTTCGGAATTATCTGTGATAATCTTCCACGATGGTTTTTTTTTAATCATTGCCGAAACATGTTCAAGAGTTTCTTAAACATCCAGCGGTTCTCAAACTGTTTTCGATTGCCATCTGCTTTGAAGAATTCCATAAGCTATTTGAGCTATATTGAATACCGATTTTACCGTAACCGGTTTACCGGTCATGCCATACCATCCTTCTCTACGAATTTTCCTTAAAATCTGGGTGAATCAAAAATCCCAAAAGTTCCTGTAAAATTCAAAATCAAACTCTTAAGTTCATAATTCCCTGAACTTCTACGAAGTTCGCTGAGCTTCTACAATTTTGGCTAAACTTCTACGAAGTCCCTTGAACTTAAAAAAATCCCAACACTTCTATGAACTTTACGAGATTCTTTGAATTATTTGCTTGACATGTACAAAGGCCTGTCATGGTGGTAACTCATGAGTAACCAGCTCCCAAAGCCAATTTGTTTACCATACCAATTTGCTACTATACCTTTGGGAATTTTTCCTTGTTAACACTCCGAACACGATGCCTCTGAAAAACGTGTTGAAACATCTTATGTATGACCCCGGAGCTTGATCCCTGAAGGGTACCAGCCTAAGCCCCGAGCTGGTCTTAAGTGAAGGGGGTTTTTCGGAACACAGAATCCTACAAAATTACTCACGGACAACGGTTAAATGCCTTTTATTTAATTGCACCGTGACACTGTTGGATGAGGCGCCAGGTGGCGGTGACGACACAGGCGAGACAGGTGGTGAGCTAGATAATGCCTATGGTGGTGGCTTCGGAAATAGCCGTGCACAAGGTCTTACGGGGGCTGGATAGCGGTGGCCAGATGGCAGTGGCCAGACAGTGGCGGCGGCCAAATGATGGCGGCCGGATGATGAGCAACCGGGTGGCAGTGGCCGGATGGCAGTGGCCGGATGGCAGTGGCCGGATGGCAGTGGCCGGATGGCAGTGGCCGGATGGCAGTGGCCGGATGGCAGTGGCCGGGTTGTATCATTGAAGGTTCTGCGATCGTGATGGTGGCCGGTGTTGCTGACGCACAAGCGGGATATTGGCAGGTACAAACGATTGAGAAGGCGGCAGCCAGATGTCAGCGACCAATTAGAATTATTTGAGGCCCAGCGATCGTGATGGTAGCCGGTAGTGCTGTACGGCACACATGAAATCGCTCCAGGCATCTGGCATCTTCTTCGGAGGCTACATCCCGACTCTTGACCCTTCGTCATTGTCATGCTACCCTCTCTTCGTTGGCTCGATCACTCTTCACTTTTCTCATACTACCGCTCTCACTCCGTCCAGGCTCAGTGGATATCGACACCCACCCACTACTGGTTTAGCATACTATAAAGGGTGATACGGTCAAAATTTGGTCAAGGGAAAACGCGTGTAAATCGGTGAAATCGTTTATTTGAAAAATCAAATTAAATTTCTTTTTCAAGTTCAATTAGTATAAAATTCAGGAAAAAATATTCAGTTAGGCTTCCGCTTTTCCAAATCCAAATTGCTGGGCCTTACGCTTGACCCCTGCCATCAGATTTTGTACAGCCACCTTGTCCACCTTCTTCGCCGCAGAAAGCCAGTTTGCCTTGAACTGCTGCTCGCCCTTAGCAGTTTTTTTGGTCTTCTTTAGGTTCCGCTTGACAATAGCCCAGTATTTCTCAATTGGGCGGAGCTCTGGCGTGTTGGGAGGGTTCTTGTCCTTGGGAACCACCTGCACGTTGTTGGCGGCGTACCACTCCATGGCCTTTTTACCGTAATGGCAAGATGCCAAATCCGGCCAAAACAGTACGGAACAACCGTGTTTCTTCAGGAAAGGCAGCAGACGTTTATTCAAACACTCTTTCACGTAAATTTCTTGGTTGACAGTCCCGGAAGCTATGAAAATGCTGCTTTTCAAGCCACAGGTACAGA